AAAGTATGGAAAGGCACATGGTAAAGTGCAAAGTACTATCACTGGGTTTGTATTAGGTGGTGGAGTTTGGGGGGATGGATGACTTCCATGCCAAATTGGCTGCTACGAGAACAGGGCTGGCGAAGTGTTATTTCAAAATACATTTTCAGATATATTTGTTCATGTGGCATGAAAGGCCTGCATTCATAAGTCTCTGCAGAGAAATGTGTTCCTGGGGCTTCTTAAGCGGATCTGTTCTAGCTATTCCTCACCTTCCAAGTTGAAGTCATGATGTTTCTGCTGTTTTCTACTGTGAACCCTCTGTTCTAAGCAAGCCGTGCGGGCAGGCCTCATCTCCTGCTCCCCTCATCCCCAGGCACATCCTGGCTCATAAGCTCCTCATCCTTCCCTGCTCCCCCAGAGTTTTCACTCCCGGCCTAAATACTTACTCTCTTCCTCCCTTTTCTCTACCATTTTGTCCAACCTCTGCTGCACACACTGCTGTCTGCTCTGGCCACCAGTGCTTGAAGTTCTGTGGGGCCTGTGCTGGATTGCCTGCCTGGAGTGCTCCTGTTCTTCACCAGCTGTCTCATGTTGCAGTGAAGTGTGCTTCCTACATATAAGTGTGATGTAAATCTTACCACCCTGGCTAGGGAAAGGCATAGGCCTTCTTCTGTCCCTTGGTTTCATCCGTATCTTCTACTTGCTCAGCTGTGGGCCTCACATGATAGCTATTTTGACAAAATCTCCCTGTCTCCTCCTTCAATTTTTGGGGACTGGGGTCTCATGGTTTCGTAAGAATGCCAAATTGGTACGGGTTTGGCCTCATGGCTCCACCCCCGACCCTACCCCGTGTCCGTGGTAGAAGACTCAGAGCTTTAGAATCAAGACCTGGATCTGCTCTGATGTACCCACCTACCTGCCAGAAGACAGTGGCCAGTTTCTAGACAATCCTGCCACAAGCAAAATGCTACATCCTGTCATCTTATGGGAATGATGAAGCCCTGCTCTTCTGGAGGAAAGGAGGAAGGGAGAGGGATTCAGTAGGGCTCCATTAATATTGGCCATGTCCTTAGGTGAGAGCACTATGGGATACACCACCCCTACCCCTGTCTTTCTAGCTGCTTCCTTGAGGACTAAAATGCTGGTGCTTGATCTACCTTCGGTTCCCCTGGGGTAGGGAGTTCCTGTTAGAGAAGTGGGATTGGTCATTGGTGTCTGAATCCCTTTCCCTCCCACCAAAGGGGCTACCTGACCAGCCTTCACTGCCTCCCACAGGCCACCTGCCATCTGCTCTGTCCCAGGAACCTGCCTAGGGACCAGAGGTCCCTCAGTCTCAGGTTCAGGCAGCTAAGCAAGAGCCTTTGTCCTCTCCTGCTTTCTGGAGACTTGGCCGAGGTGTTGGCCATCTCAGTCTAAGCTGTTCAAGTCAAGCCCTAACCCTAACCTTCCCACTCCCGTAATGAAAGTGATGACCTGTGCCATGGGCATTGAAGCGCGATGTGCCTTTGCTCACAGTGCACGTTGAACACTTTGCACCTAGGGTCTGGAAGAGTGAACCTTGTAATTTGACTCACAGCCCAACATTTTCACCCTCACGCTAAGTCTCCGTGAGTTTCAGGCACCAAAAGGCCTCCAGCCTCCACGCCCCACCTCATCTCAGGAAGCGATGCATAAAGCAAGGGTTCTGGTTCCCTGCGTCCCTCCCAGCATCCCCATTCCCATCAAGCAGGTTCTCTAACAGCTGGAACACTGGTTTCAAGTGGCCAAGCAATAAGCTGGCTTTCTTTTCTTCATCTTTCATGAACAGCCCCCCAAAAAGGTGCCAATTGGCTCCTTTCTTGCTCCCTGACACCCACCAACAAGTATAGCCCTCACTCACTGGTCTTGATGAGAGAAAGGCCAGCTCAGAGGAGATGGAGCCAGAGATACAAGGGCCTTTCCAGTGAGGACACTGGAAAGACCAAAAAGAAAGGAGAGCAATAACCTGATTGTGTCAGGCTACTAATAAGGAGGGTGTGCTCACATTAGCTGCCTTACATAGGTCTCTAAGTCAGGACTGCAATTCAGGGCAGTGACACACACAGGCAGGGCCCAGGAAACCAGCAGATGGTAGGTTACCTTCCCATCCCATCCTAGAAGGAAGTGGCAATATCCCTACCTTGTGACTGGAGACTTTGACACACATCCAAGAGCACTATTGGCCATGAAGAAATCCACTAGAGAGCTGTAAGCTGATTTCTGGTTCCTCGAAAAATTAGCCTTTGCCAGATACTAGAATTCAGTTCAAACTCTATTGACTATTCTGTGTACTCTGACATTGTCTGGCATTGTGGGACAATTTTAATAGGCAATTCTGCTCTGAGTTGCTTGCTGTTTCTTGGAAATGCAAGGAATGGACACTTGTGACAGTTAGGAAACAGTACATCCAAATGTCCATCAACCAGTAAATGGATTAATAAAAGGTGGTATGTCCATACAATGGAATGTTATTAGGTCATAAAAAGGAATGGCGTACTGAGACATGCTACAACACAGAAGAACCTGGAAAACATTATGCCAAATGAAAAAAGCTGGTCACAGAAGACTATTATGTGATTCTATTGATATGAAATATCCAGGAGAGGCCAATCTATAGAGACTAAAAGCAGAACAGAGGGCTGCCCAGCCTGGGAGACAGGGTTAGCAATAGTGAGTGACTCCTGATGGGTACAGGGTTTCTTTTGGGGGCAATAAAAATGTTGTAATGTTAAATTGTGGTGATGGTTGCATAACTCTGAGTACCTTCAGAGAACATTACACTCTAAATGAGTGAATTTTATGGTGTGTGAATTATATCTCAATAAAGGTGTTAAACAATACAAAATGGTACATAATTGAGTGCAAATTGTATGGTGCAGACAGTAACTGTTCTACAGATTTGGGTACAGCATTCGTGCTTGCAGAAGGCTTCCTGAACGTCTTTGGTGGTGTACTTTGGGCACTGGGGGCAAAGAGGGCTTGAGGGTGGCTGAGAGTTTTGAGCAGAAGTAGGTTTTGTCATGGGGACAGTACAGTTGGCAGAGAACAGGCACCCCTGGCATGGAAGATAGGGAGAAGTTTGCATAGAGAGGTGGAAATGGATTTTGAGGAGCCCTGAATGCCAGGCAAGGATTTAGATTTTGTCCTATTCACAGTGTAGGATCTTGATCAGGAGAATAATAGGGCAAAGTACACCCAATTCTAGAGCATCGGGGTAGGTCTGAACACCAGGGGCAGGGAAAGGAAAGCTGGTTCTTGAGGCTTTTTAAATAGATAATGTTGGAGATATTTGTTTACACATCCTGGCTGGGATGAGCAGCAGGTTACAGACAAGCTCGGATCAGCCGCTGGTCTGGCTGTTCCTTTGCTCCTTTCCCTTGGGGAAATGGCCATGCTCTCCTTGCCTTTTGGTCTCTGGGACCTGTCCACATAATCTGTGGTGGCAGAGGCAGGGAATTAGGGTTGACTGAGTTTTCTGTTTGAACAACAGCTTGTGCAGATCACGAGCTGCAAAATATTTAATCAGTGAGGTCATCAGAGGGGAAATGAGATGGGATCGATAGGAGTCTCTGCTGTTTCCCATAACGGTCGAGTCTGAGTTGCTTTTCTTCTACCTTCTTATGGCAAAACCACAAACCAGTAAAAATGGAAAGAATAATGTTTTGTGAGACCCACAAAAGCTTATTTTTAATCAGTTGTGTGGTCTGTTCACCTTTGCGGTGTTCCCCTTGACCTGATTCACAAAAATAAAGGAGTGCCAGCCTGGTGGTTTCCAAACCCTTTTAAGGTTGCACCCCCCACCCTTTTTGGATGACTCAGTATTTACCCAATAGTGAAGACAGAGACCTTGGGTTGAAGAAGGTCAGACCTACCTTGGCCTCCCAGCCTGATCCAAGGTCCCTCTGAAGCAAGGGTAAGAGATGTGCACGGTGACAAGTGCATTCTTTTTGGGGGCGTGGGGGGACAGTTGGCAGAAGACGCAGGGGGCATGCTTAGACATCCTGAGAGGAAATAGAAACAGCATGCCCCCTGGTTGGTGACAAGTGGGGTGCTCAGAAGATAGGTAGCCGCCTAGGATGGTGGACTTTTCTGTGCTGCCTTATTAGCGTGGGTGCTGGTGGCAAGAGGGATAGACCGGTGAATGGGGCTGCATCTGATCCCAGGAGCTGTGGGCCACCCGGGCTCAGGGAAAGAGAGGTGAGGGGCAGTGGGTGTGATCCGTAGTGTGCTGGGAGAGGCAGGTGGGGGCTCCAAATGGGGAGCCCTGCAGCAGGATGAGGAGAAAGGAGCTTTGTGTGCAGGGGCTTTGGCTGCCAGGCAAGTGTGGGTTTTGTGGCAGCTGCCGGCCCCCGGTCCTAATATAGTCAAAAGTTCCAAAGACTCTGTCCTGACACCTGTTAGTGATAGGCTCCCCTGAGTTGACCCCTCCTTGGCCGTCTCTCCCACAATACGCATCATGAGCATCTGACACATGGATGGGGGAGGGAGCGCGACCCCTGTGCTGAGTCACTTGAACCAGAGCCCCTGTTGATAAATTGCCTTCTCCCAGCTTGCCTGGCGGCTGCTGGATTTTTAATGGGTGGAATTTATTCAACTGTTACTAGGGAAAGGGGTGAGGCTGACTTAGCCACAGGGAAATGGGGTGTTCCTCTGGCAAGTGGCCATTCTTGGCAAAGAACTGGGGGGTGGGGGTGCTGCCTTTTACCCAGGGATGGAGAGAAGTGAAACATGAACCAACGTGAGCCGCTTAATGCCACTGCAGCTGCTTCCTAACTTTGCCTCTTTCTTCCTTTGACCTTTGGAGGAGTGGGGTGGAGAGGAAGAGATGGGCGCCTGCAGGTAGCCAGCACTCAGACCGCTCTGCCGGGTACCCCTCCTGGCTCTATGACCCCTGGGGTGCTGTGACTCCAGGCGGCTAGTGGCTTGCATAATTCCCATGTCTCTCCTCCCTTCCTCTCTGCCCCTTGCTTTCTCTCCCTGGCCCCCGTGGGTGGCTGCAGCCCAGCCCTGGGGAGCCCCTGTGGAAGTGGAGACCTTCCTGGTCCACCCTGGTGACCTGCTGCAGCTTCGCTGTCGGCTGCGGGATGATGTCCAGAGCATCAACTGGCTGCGCGACGGGGCACAGCTGGTGGACAGCAACCGTACACGCATCACGGGGGAGGAGGTGGAGGTGCGGGACTCGGTGCCTGCTGACTCCGGCCTCTACGCGTGTGTGACCAGCAGCCCCTCGGGCAGTGACACCACCTACTTCTCCGTCAATGTCTCAGGTTGGTAGCAGAGCCCTGCCCTTACCCCGTCCCTGATCCGCCCCTCCAACCTTCTGCTACGGGGGAGGTGAGCCTCCTCCCCTTCCGCAATCTGCCCCGACTCTGCTGCAGAAACTGCTGCCTGCTAGCATTGCTCCCCGCCCGCCGCTGCCTTAGCTCTAGGGTGACCAGGTGGTGTGGGCCTCGGGCCAGAGATGTGGGGCTGCCGGGATCAACCATGGAGGTGTCTGCTGCTCCACTTGGGGCATTAAGACTGATTTCTCCACCTTGGCTTGTCCAGGCTGCCAGGGTGCCACGTAGGGCTCAGCTGGTTTTCATCCTGCCATCCCCTTGCCATTTAGACTTGGTACTTAGCTTAGCAATTAGAGCCCTGGAATACGTGGTGAGCGCCTCCCGCCATGGGGAAGGATCCAGGCTTACTGCCATATCCACAGGCTTTATGGAAAACATCTGTCCTCCAGCTTCCAGAGCTGTGGTAGCACTGCCAGGGAGCCCTAGAACTCTGTGACTTTGGGAGTCTGCCACTTTGAGAATGGGACTTTCATAAAACTGCAGGATTGGATGGAGTAGGGCTGAAATTTTCTTTATGCCATTTGTGCATCCAGAGGTGTGGGCTTGGAACCTCCTGCCCTCGGCCAGCATTTAGAACCTGCCTGCAACTGAGGGATCTGTCTACTTTATTTCTCTCCAGGATCCCAAAAGCATTAGGAAGGACTGGAAAAAGATCTGGCATGAACCCCAGTTGGGGACATGTGTGTCAAACCCTTGGAAGGGGTGGCCTCTAGGGGGAGAGACGCTGGTGGCTGTGGACTGTGTGCTGGGCTCCCTGTCTGCTCTGGTTAAGAAGGGCAGCTCCCAAGCCTTGGCAGATGCATGCTAGAAAAATTCTGACTGGAGGTATTTCAACCCATGGTTTTGGAAATAACTTCTGGTTGCAGTGCACCTAGATCTGTCTGGGTTTCCGAAGAAGGATACATTCCCAGGCGGCTCGTCTGACATCCGGAGTATCTGGGTGGTACTGAGATGAGCAAGCCTCTGAATGCAGTGTGGCATCAAATAAAAGAGGACCCACTGCGTTGGTGTAACTGCCCAGTGCAAAGGCTTCTGGGAAGAGGGGCGGTACATCCGGTTGGGGAAGGAGGGGCAGGCATAGAGCATGTAGCACTAGCCAGTGGAGAGACCACCACTCAGGGAGGAGTGGGACTGGGCGTCGGAACAGGGAGGGGCACCTGCATTCATCTGAAACTGGACCGCCTTTATGTTCATGGCCGGCTGTTGTATAGGTAAAACTTTAGCGCCCTCTCCTCGGAGGGACCTCAGTGCCCCTTCCACCCTCCCACAGATGCCCTCCCCTCCTCAGAGGATGACGATGACGACGATGACTCTTCTTCAGAGGAGAAAGAGGCGGACAACACCAAACCGAACCGTATGCGTGAGACGCTGTTTCCTGTCTTCCTACCCTTTGAGTTGTGTGCATGGGAAGGGGGAGGCGTGGATGGTTGTCTGGAGAAGGATAGGAGAGGGTACCCAGAGTCGTGGCACTTGGCTGTTGGACCCCTCAGTGCCTTGATGTCTCAGGTGGTTGGCAGGTGGGTGGGGCGTCTCAGGGTCCTGGCGTGGGCTCCCACTCCCAAGCCTGACTGGCCCCCTCCCTGTCTCTCTTGGCTTTCCTCTGGCAGCCGTGGCTCCATACTGGACATCTCCAGAAAAGATGGAAAAGAAACTGCATGCAGTGCCAGCTGCCAAAACCGTGAAGTTCAAATGCCCTTCCAGTGGGACTCCTAACCCCACACTGCGCTGGCTGAAAAATGGCAAAGAATTCAAACCTGACCACAGGATTGGGGGCTACAAGGTATGTGCATGTAGTCAGAGGAACAGCAGAAGCTTAGAAAGATCCTCATTCTATGCCTTACTTATTTCACATGTGCTTTTTAACCATACAAGTAATGCATTTTAGAAAAATTTCAAATATACAAATGTGCAAAAAAGTCTAAAACATCTTCTCAGTCTTTTTTCTGTGTAGGGGTTTTTATGTAGTTGGTCACATTGCACATATAATTTCTTATCTTGTCACTTGTTAACATTATAACATGAATCTTTGCCATGTGGTTGAATGACTTTTCATGGCTACATAATATTCCATTGTTAAATTTCCCCTGATTTAATGAACTATTTTGTGGTAGCAGTTACTTTTTCAGTTTTTCTCTATTATATATAATGTTGCAGTGAATATATTTGTACTTGATCTTTGTCAGTCTTAAAATATTCTTTCTAGGACAAATGGCTAGCAGTGAAGTTACTAGATCAAAGTATAAGCAATTTTTAAGCCCTTGATGTGTGTTACCCAATTACTTTCTTTTCCCTGATAATTAGGTAATTTTATTTGTTCATTAACTTACTCAGTCATTTCTTCAACACATGTCTTTCCAGAAAGTATACTAGGCAGTAGAGTTCAAAGTACAAAGGGAAAAATGAAATTTTACTGTGAAGGAGTATTTAATGGAGGACAATTTATGAGTTAGGGTATGATTTTATATCTTAAGTTAACAATTACTTTCTTAAAAGGGAAAACTTATTTGCTGCCCCATAGCAGAGTATGACAGTGAGAAGTTCACTGTACCTTTGCCAATAGATTGGATATATGAAAGTATCTCATTGTTCTCTTGTGCATTATTTGCTTATTAACAAATGTAGACTTTTCATAAGTTAATAAACAATTTCCATGTCCTGCGGTACAAATTGTGCTGCGACCATTTATATTTCTGGAAAAAGAATCGTCATAGTCCCTTCGTTAGACTTCAATATCCTTACAGTCCCTGTTTCTCTTCCATCTCATCTAGTTGCTCTTTTCTCATTAGTCTTGTAAAAGAGAAGCAAAGGAATTCATAAAAAATAGGGAAACATTTTAAATTAATTCCCCAAACACTTGCTGTGTGCAAGTTACTGCACAGTGAGTGATATGAGGCAGGGTCCCTGCCCCTCCAGTCTGACGGGAGAACAGACGTCTGTGAGAAGCAGGCTGTGATCAGTAGAGGCACAGAGGAACAGTAAGAACAGTCCTGACCCTTTGAAGCTCAGGCTGGAGGAGATGGTGTTTGGCATGGCATGCCAAGGGCAGGTAGGACTGGACTCTTCTCGGCGAGCACTGGCAACTTGGGGACAGAGGCACGTCCTCTGGAAAATCCCCGTGTATTTGGAAGGGTGAGGAGGCACATTGTCCAGGCCACACATGGCTGTGGCTGTTGTAGGTGGAGCCCCTCCCACCCATCTTGCTGGTTGTCTTTCCTGAGCATAAGTGGACTTGGGGGTGGCAGTCTCTGCCCAGTCCTGACTCCCTGTGCTTTGCACTCTGACAGGTGGGGAGGCACCACAGGGCTCCAACAGTTTCACATGGCTTCTGCCTCCAAGCCCACAGTGGGGTGCTTTGACATGTTTCCCCCCAGGTTCGTTACGCCACCTGGAGCATCATCATGGACTCTGTGGTGCCTTCAGATAAGGGCAACTACACATGCATCGTGGAGAACAAGTACGGCAGCATTAACCATACTTACCAGCTCGACGTCGTGGGTAAGAAGGCAGCAGTGACAAAGAACAGGAGCTCAAAGGAAAGAGGGCAGAGGCATGGAGCAAACAGCCACAGGCCCGGGTTCACTGAGGGGCAGAGGCAGGATGGGGTCAGCGTTTCCTAGCTGTCACCCAAAGCAGGTCCCCTTCCTCTTTTGTGCCTTTCTCTCATCTGCAAGTAGCATTGGGGGTCAGATAGTACTGCACTCGTCGTGAAGGAACAGGCTGTTGCTAGTTGCCGCTGCACAAGGTGACTGGAGGTGATGCTAATTTAGCAACTGGTAATTTTGCATCATGAATGCCAGCAGATGCAGGCACTTTACAACACCCACAATCCTCATGGCTCTCCTGCCAGGTAGGCTGTATTTCCCTACAGGGAGTAAACTGAGGCTGAGTCAGATGCCTAGTTAGTGTAGAACCCTAGGCCCGTGCTGCCTCCAGTGCATTGCAGGAGACACTAGGAAGAACACGATGCCTCCAAGGGCTGTTACTGCACCTGTACCTTTGGAATTTCTGGATCTCACCCTCTGGAGATCTTACGGGAAAGGGTTTTCCAGCCAGCATTCTGTCTTGGTTTTGGGGATATAATTGTAAGAAGAAACTCCTGCTCTGGGAGGTCCATGGTGGGATCTGAGAGTCAGCCTTTTCCCTTTTTACAAAAAAAATTTTTATATTGAGGTACGGACAACAAAATACACAGATATTCGCGTACAGAGACATTAGCTTTTCTAATGAGCTCCTCAGCAGTGTCAGGGTGGCTGCCCGCCAACCATGCTTTGAACAGCAACATCTAAGTGACTTGCTGCAGTTTCAGTGAAGGAAGTGGGCTGGCTGAAGTCAGGGAGTGTTCTCCGTTAAGGCAGGAGCGACTTCATATGTGTAGGGGTGCATTGCCACGCGGGAGATTCCTCACAGCTCGGGACCCAGGAGAAGGGAGTCCCTTCTCAGGTTCAAGGGGCCAGGGCTCAGCAGAGACACTGGGAAGGACACTGCCCGTCTCTGGCAAAGCCAGCGGGGAGCACACTTCTCTTGGGTGTTCTGTGGGATACCCTCCACCAACATGCCACCAGGAGCAGACCATACAGGGCCTGGCAAGCATCTCCTCTCCATTCCTCCGCAGAGCGGTCCCCTCACCGGCCCATCCTGCAGGCAGGGTTGCCTGCCAACAAGACAGTGGCCCTGGGCAGCAATGTGGAGTTCATGTGTAAGGTGTACAGTGACCCACAGCCCCACATCCAGTGGCTAAAGCACATTGAAGTGAACGGGAGTAAAATTGGTCCGGACAACCTGCCTTATGTCCAGATCTTGAAGGTAATCTTGGTCCCAGGCTCTGTGGGCTGGGTGCTGGGAAACAGATCTGTGTCTCCAGGGCCCAGGGTGCTGCGGTTGGGCTCAGAGCCCACAGTGGGGACCCATTCCTTACCCTTCAGGCCCACCTGCATGTTCCATCCTAAACAGGGACCGCACCCTTCCCCAGGACTAAGGACAGCTCACAGAGGGAGGTGCAATGGGGACAGAGGGCCGGGCGTGGGCGTTCCTGGTGTCCAACAGGCTTGGAGACCAGGCCTTGAGGCCAGCTACTCAGGGAGGACATCTGGGCTCCCACTTTCCCATTGCCCAGAACCAAAGCCTTTACACAAGCATTTCCCAATTCTCAAATCACATTCTTTCTGGCAAGTGGGGTGAGTGATGAGAGCGCAGCTCAGGTGGGGCTGGGAAAGCACATGTCATGCACGGGTAAATTCCAGCAGCTGCAGGAGTAATGGCACTTTCTTCCTTTCTCCTCTCACTCCCGGACTTTTCACTGTCCCTGAATGCGCCATTAATCCAGGGAAGGTAATTGCCTAATTCTCCAGTGGATCTTGCCACAGCAAGTAACCAGAAGCTGAGACAGCGGTTTACCTCCTGGTCCCACAGTTAGACCTCATCCTCCCCTGGCGTGGCCGTCCCAGAGATTTACTGGCTCCCCATTCCCTTGCTTTGCTCCTGGTGCTGAATCTGCCATGTAAGAAATAGGGCTGTGGCCTTGGGCCTCGCCTCAGCCACTGTGTCCCTTCACAATCTCTGCTTTAGAACTGGAAGACTGTGTTTAACACAAACAGAATGCTTGATAGGGGGCAGTGATGTTTTGAAGTTTATTTTTCAACCAGATGCTTTGGGCTTTGGAAGTTAATGCACTTGGTCCTACTGACCAGGGAAAGATGATGCATCTTACTAAGCGGCCCCCTTATCCCAGCTTCCTGGGCTTGCCTTACCGTCACATGGGGGCCAAGCAGGGCCGCCTCTCAGTGTCTGCCCACCTGACTGGCTTGTCGTTGGTTTGTTCCAGCATTCAGGGACTAATAGCTCGGATGCGGAGCTGCTCACCCTGTTCAGTGTGACAGAGGCCCAGAGCGGGGAGTATGTGTGTAAGGTTTCCAATTATATTGGTGAAGCTAACCAGTCTGCGTGGCTCACTGTCACCAGACCTGTGGCCAAAGGTAATGGAGATGGATGGTAATGGGGCTGGGAGTTTGATGTTGGCCCCATGCTCCTGGGGCAGATGGGGAAGCCAGCGTCCAACATGTCCCGACCCCCATTACCTGCTGTGTTTCTAGTGCCCAGAGCCATGGAAAAATACCCGGCCTGGGAGGCTGGTTTGGTTTGGCACCATGCTGGCGTCTGACCCCTCCGCCTTCTGTGTGCTCCTTGGCTGTGCGTGCCCTCATGGGGAAAGTCATGCTGCAGACTGGAAGTGGAGCGGTAGATAAGGGAAGGGACCAGGTGTTCCCTTGCGAACCAGCATCCCCAGGCCCTGTGTGTGTGTGTACGTGCACCTGCAGCCCCTGTCCACCCCTCCTGTGTGTGCCCTCTGACGTCTTTCCCTGAAACCAAACAGCCCCCCACCCACCGGGCCCCATTTCTCCATGCTGCCCACCGCCCGCATGCTTGGAGGGCCCGGGGCTGCCAGCCTGGTGAAGGGTTGTAACCACCCTCGTGGCCTCAGGTCTGCCGGACTCCCCACCTTGGGGCCTCACTGTCTTCCTCTAACAGGTCTCACTGCCTGGTGGTGTGTGTGTTCCTGGTTGCAAAGGCGATGCGGGGGAACATCTCTTCCTCTGATTTTTTTTCTTTGCTCTCTGTCCTCCCTTCCTCTATGCCTCTGAGAGGTTTCATGACCTGTGCTTGTCCCCTTTGCTTCCGTTGTCTCTTCTAGACTGCCGGCGTCAACACTACCGACAAAGAAATGGAAGTGCTTCACTTGAGGAATGTGTCCTTTGAGGACGCAGGGGAGTATACATGCTTGGCGGGTAACTCTATCGGACTCTCTCATCACTCTGCATGGTTGACCGTTCTGGAAGGTACACACTGTACTTCTCCTCTCAATGTCCTGCCCTCGCCATGGGCATGGGGGGACCATGCATTTCGGGGCCAGGGGAGACCCAGAGCCGGGAGAGGTAGAGGAATGGGCTCCTGTGGGTCATTTGTCCAACCCTGAGGGTTCCATCTTCTCGGCTCACTGTGGAGCTTTCCTTGTTAGGCAGGAACCCGGAGGCCTCCCTTCGGTACCTGCATCTGACTCTCCCCTCGGGTGGTGCAATGCATGCCTGGGGTGTGGATTTAATCTGCAGCTGGGCTCTCCTCCAGAGCAGGCTCCTTCCATCCTTGGGCCCAGCAGCCTTCCCTGGCTTGTCTGACCCATTCTTGCCAGCCCCCAAAGTCTCAGCGAGGGTCCACACCTCTAGCTGATTGTAGGCACCTGCAAAGAGGGGCTTGCTGCTTACAAGGAGCAGTGAGGGCTCATACGGCCCTCCTTGACCTCGGAGGAGGAGAGAGGCTCAGCTAGCCAAGGGAACTTGGCTGCTCTAAGTTCGGCCTGTCTCAGGCTTGATGGTGCCCGCTTATCCTCTGTGTCTGCCGCTGTACCTCCTCTTCCAGGAGGGGAGGTCTGTGTGTTGGGACGGGAAGAAAAGAGCCTACAGGCTGGCTGCTCGGGGCGGGGCTGGTGACTGCGGCTGGAGCTGGAGCGTGGCCTCTGCCAGAGTCCTGATGTGGTGTGGGCTCATCCTTCCGTAGTCCCACTGCGCCTCATCTCCTTTGCCCTCTCCTCCGTGCTGCCCGCCCCGCTGGGTCTGCTGATGCCCCTGGGGGAGGCAAAGTGTTCTGTTGTTCCCTGTCACTGTTTCTGTCCCATGTATGTTCCCCATCTGTTCTGCACTTCTCGACACTGAAGGGTGAGAGAAATATCCGTTTTCTCTCTCCTTGTCAGCTCTGCTGTCTCCTTGTCAGGCCTGGGGAAGCTGTCTCGGGGCTCAGTGCGGGGTCACACCCCATGCCTCCAGGGGCGGGGGTTCCCTGGGGTGCCTGTGCCTGTGGCCGGCTGGCGTCTCTGAAAGGGAAGGATCAGGTGCAGAGCTGGGGCAGGGGCGCTCCATGACGCCGGCCCCATGGGTGCTGGCTGTGGGCCCCAGCCCCTCACGTGGCAGACAGAGGTGGCTTTAGCTGGGTGGGCTTCTATGGAAATAGAGGGCGGGAAGGGAAGGGATTTCTGAAGGGAATAAAATAATGCTCCCCGCTGACCAGTTCCTTCATCAGTGTTTGAATTAGGGCCAGTGAGTAGAATTCTTAAGAACTGCAGTAAGTGTACATTTTCATTTCAAGCAGTCCAGACATGTTTGAAAAAATTAGTTTTGCCTGTGGCTTGACAAGGTGTAAATATAACATGTGTGACCTGACACAGGTAAACAGGCGAAAGGCAAGATAGGACATAGACTGGGTCCCACCCCCCAACCCCACCCTCGCCTCATCCTCATTCTGGGAGGCCCGCTGTAGGCCAGGCTCTGTGGCACAACCCTGAGGGTTCCATCTTCTCGGCTCACTGTGGAGCTTTCCTTGTTAGGCAGGAACCCGGAGGCCTCCCTTCGGTACCTGCATCTGACTCTCCCCTCGGGTGGTGCAATGCATGCCTGGGGTGTGGATTTAATCTGCAGCTGGGCTCTCCTCCAGAGCAGGCTCCTTCCATCCTTGGGCCCAGCAGCCTTCCCTGGCTTGTCTGACCCATTCTTGCCAGCCCCCAAAGTCTCAGCGAGGGTCCACACCTCTAGCTGATTGTAGGCACCTGCAAAGAGGGGCTTGCTGCTTACAAGGAGCAGTGAGGGCTCATACGGCCCTCCTTGACCTCGGAGGAGGAGAGAGGCTCAGCTAGCCAAGGGAACTTGGCTGCTCTAAGTTCGGCCTGTCTCAGGCTTGATGGTGCCCGCTTATCCTCTGTGTCTGCCGCTGTACCTCCTCTTCCAGGAGGGGAGGTCTGTGTGTTGGGACGGGAAGAAAAGAGCCTACAGGCTGGCTGCTCGGGGCGGGGCTGGTGACTGCGGCTGGAGCTGGAGCGTGGCCTCTGCCAGAGTCCTGATGTGGTGTGGGCTCATCCTTCCGTAGTCCCACTGCGCCTCATCTCCTTTGCCCTCTCCTCCGTGCTGCCCGCCCCGCTGGGTCTGCTGATGCCCCTGGGGGAGGCAAAGTGTTCTGTTGTTCCCTGTCACTGTTTCTGTCCCATGTATGTTCCCCATCTGTTCTGCACTTCTCGACACTGAAGGGTGAGAGAAATATCCGTTTTCTCTCTCCTTGTCAGCTCTGCTGTCTCCTTGTCAGGCCTGGGGAAGCTGTCTCGGGGCTCAGTGCGGGGTCACACCCCATGCCTCCAGGGGCGGGGGTTCCCTGGGGTGCCTGTGCCTGTGGCCGGCTGGCGTCTCTGAAAGGGAAGGATCAGGTGCAGAGCTGGGGCAGGGGCGCTCCATGACGCCGGCCCCATGGGTGCTGGCTGTGGGCCCCAGCCCCTCACGTGGCAGACAGAGGTGGCTTTAGCTGGGTGGGCTTCTATGGAAATAGAGGGCGGGAAGGGAAGGGATTTCTGAAGGGAATAAAATAATGCTCCCCGCTGACCAGTTCCTTCATCAGTGTTTGAATTAGGGCCAGTGAGTAGAATTCTTAAGAACTGCAGTAAGTGTACATTTTCATTTCAAGCAGTCCAGACATGTTTGAAAAAATTAGTTTTGCCTGTGGCTTGACAAGGTGTAAATATAACATGTGTGACCTGACACAGGTAAACAGGCGAAAGGCAAGATAGGACATAGACTGGGTCCCACCCCCCAACCCCACCCTCGCCTCATCCTCATTCTGGGAGGCCCGCTGTAGGCCAGGCTCTGTGGCACACAGACACGAACAGGGCACCATTCTGGCCCTCCAGGCACTCAGGGACTCTCAGGGTCAAAAGACGGCAGCAGCTCATGAGAGGCATGTGCACACAGTGCGGGGGGGCTCTGCTGAGAGAGGCTGTGTTTCCCCGAGGAAGCTGAGAAAGTCCTGGCACAGTCCCTGGTGCCCACCTAGCCCAGCAGTGCCTCTGAGCAGGGAGGGCTCCTGGGTTAAGGAGGATGGGCCTCATGTAGCAAAGTGGTTCTAGTCCATTCCTCTTGGGAAATTTGAGTCAGGATCAGGAAGCCTCAAGGATCATAGCAAATCTGATCCACCCAGTGCCAGAACCCCAATCCTTGCTGGGACCTGGCTTGGTTCTTTGCCCTAAAGATTCCTAAGGCAAAGAGATGGGTATTGCTTCTCTGATGGAGCGGGGACCCTAGTGGGTTGGGCACAGAGCCTCCTGACACCCTGTTCACACCAACCCAGCCCTAGAAGAGAGGCCGGCAGTGATGACCTCGCCCCTGTACCTGGAGATCGTCATCTACTGCACGGGGGCCTTCCTCATCTCCTGCATGGTGGGCTCGGTCATCATCTACAAGATGAGGAGTGGCACCAAGAAGAGCGACTTCCACAGCCAGCTGGCCGTGCACAAGCTGGCCAAGAGCATCCCTCTGCGCAGACAGGTAACAGAAAGTAGATAGGGGGTCTGAACGCTCTAGGCACCTGCTCTCCCTTTGCCTCCGAGGACTTTTCCTGAACCTTCCAGCACCCTGCTCTCCCCAGCCTACCACTCATGGCCTGGCTTTGGGACCAGGGCCAGTGGAATGTCCTAAGGGCTCCACACTCAGGTTCCAGGCTGTTCTAGCCCATGAATTCCATACGCCCACCAGCCAACTCCATTCCCCTCCTCACCTGGTATGAGGACTGGGGGAATGTCCTAGCCAGTTGAATGTGCAACTGATACTGTGTATTTGAACTGTCCCCGAGGGCCGGATAGAAGTGCAAAGATACAGGGTAGAGGAGGGACTGAGCCAGGTCCCAGCATGCTCTCTCTCTTGTGGGCCACCCTCCCTCCATCCAGGGAAATGGAACAGGCACCAAAGGCATGTGAAAGGAGGGAGTGCGCGCTCAGAGCTGCTAATTCTGGAAGGTGCTTCGGGAGTTAGGGACCCATATCTGAGGGCAGGGGTTTCACAGAGAATCAGGGCAAGAATAGAGTTGTTATTGCAAAGGTATAAAGCATCAGTCTGGAAGAGGTCCGTGTAGTCTGCTCCTGTTAAAGGTGAGTAAATGGAAGCCCAGAGAGGCTAATTGGTGGCGAAAATTAATCAGTTGTAAGAATTCAGACTTCTTGTGGTCATTAGAAAGGACATCAGATAACAGACACATAACCTCTGCCATGGGTGGAAAGCCCTGGCCAGGAATCGGAGGACTCGGCTCCCCCAATGCCCCCGCCACCCTGCCACTCCATCCTCGATAGAAGGGTGACCCCACGCTTTCCTGCAGGTGTCGGCAGACTCCAGCGCATCCATGAATTCTGGGGTTCTGCTGGTTCGGCCCTCGCGTCTCTCCTCCAGCGGGACACCCATGCTGGCTGGGGTCTCTGAGTATGAGCTTCCTGAAGACCCTCGCTGGGAGCTGCCTCGAGACAGGTATTGCACCACCCTTGACTTCCAGGGACGCCCCCTGCCTGTCGTCCTAATGGTGTAAGTCATGTGTATGAGAGCTAACCAGGAGTGAAGGCATTCCAGGCGCATCCAGAAATAGTAACTCCCACTTTCCGCTGTCACTTGGATGAAATTGGGAGAGGTAGGGCTGAGATGGCCTCTCAAGGCTTGAACTTTACCAGCTCTGACTTAGACCACCTTTGTTTTCCCCAAAAGACTGGTTTTAGGCAAACCCCTGGGAGAGGGCTGCTTTGGACAGGTGGTGCTGGCAGAGGCCATCGGGCTAGACAAGGACAAACCTAACCGCGTGACCAAAGTGGCTGTGAAGATGTTGAAATGTAAGTGACATTCCTGTCCTTGCGGCAACCATCCCTCCCTTTTCCAAGCAGAGTGGGGTCCTTGGGCCAAACAGCACAGCCTATCTGCTGCTCATGCATTGTCCACACCTGCTTAGAGGGGCGGGGGCCTCTGCACTCCAAGAGTACCATCATCTCACCATCCTTGGCTTCAGGCAGGGTTATGGGCAGGTACTCATTGCTGCTTTTTCTAACCATATCTTCCACCTGACTCATCACCACAATGGCTGTCCTAAGAGGAGAGGGACAATAAATTTGGATGTGTAAAGGGGAGGAGAGAAGCAAGTCCCGCAGTGGAGGGCGCACCTCACCCTCTCCCTTAGCTTTTTCTCCTTCGCCCTCCCTCCGAAAGCCCACAAGTCTCACCCCCTCTCTGGTCTGTGTGTAAAGCGGACGCAACAGAGAAAGACCTGTCGGACCTGATCTCCGAGATGGAGATGATGAAGATGATCGGGAAGCACAAGAACATCATCAACCTGCTGGGGGCCTGCACGCAGGATGGTAGGCGCTGAGCGCCTCGGGGAAGCGTCTCAGACGGGAACCGGGCCTCCTCTCCCAGAAGTGTCTCGGGGAAGAGGAGGAGCTGGGGTGTCAGTGAGCAGGCAACTTAGGGCGGGGGGCTAAAAAGAGGGGGTTTAAAGGCATTTAAAGAGAGGCCCGTTAGTGGGAGCGGGACTGTTGTGTCATGGGGTCTGGGCCGAGGCCGGCAGTGTTGATCCGAGGACACTGGCTGGCTCTCGCTCAGTGTGTGGACAGCAGCAGGCCAATGACCGAGGTCCAGGTTAGGGTCTTACCCCAGCTTTGCTCAGGGACTTTCTAGGCTCTGCTGGGAAGGACTGTTCACCTACTTTGGGTAGTGGGGTCAATTTCCTGGGTGCCATAACAGGGTGGTTGGGATGAGGGGACAATAGTGCTGTGCTAGTCAAGGGTAAGAGTCCCTTGGTGGAGCTGAGCCCGCTCGCCCTGATGGCTCTGCATCCTCCCCCAGGTCCTTTGTACGTCATCGTGGAGTACGCCTCCAAGGGCAACCTGCGAGAGTACTTGCAGGCCCGGAGGCCGCCCGGGCTGGAGTACTGTTACAACCCCAGCCACAACCCAGAGGAGCAGCTGTCCTCCAAGGACCTGGTGTCCTGCGCCTACCAGGTGGCCCGAGGCATGGAGTATCTGGCCTCCAAGAAGGTGTGGCACCTGTGCACCCCGGGCAAAGTTGGGATGGGAGCAGAGCCCTCCTCGTACCCCAGTTGGTGACATTCAGTCCTTCATATGGTGGCATTGTACACATACTAATCACTGTCAGAGACTCTCAGGGGCAACAGTCAGAGAGCCCGTGCAGCCTGTGGTCTTGGGTCAGGCTGGATTAGATCCTTACCTGCACTGACACTTTCTGCGGAGCCTCTGCAGCTATTTATCTTACCTGTCTTCAGATAGAAGTGAGAATGCCAGGGCCTGGCTGTGGGGATTCTGTAACAAGGTCCCGTGTGAGAGTATTAGGTACAGTGAGGATATGCCACGCCTGGGGACATGGCCTGGGAGCATGGCCCTCCCCCTTTTCCCCCGTATAGACTAGACGCACATCCACAGCTGAGAGTTGGGAGGAGGAAAGGAGGCAGATAGGGTGTTTGCTGAAGTGACTGAGAGGCCTGGGGCTAGAGGCATCTAGACAGCTGGGTTGGAATGGAGGAGAGGGACACCCTGGCAGGGCACTGAGTGCCCAGGAGGTACAGTGGCGGGGCAGGAGAAGGCTACGGCAGTGGGGGCTGCCTGCCCACTGCAAAGCAAGTGCCAGGGTGGATGGCAACTCGGCCAGTGGCGCTAAGGCCCTTCACCGCTCCCCACAGTGCATCCACCGAGACCTGGCTGCCAGGAACGTCCTAGTAACAGAGGACAATGTGATGAAGATCGCAGACTTTGGCCTTGCTCGGGACATCCACCACATCGACTACTATAAAAAAACAACCAACGTAAGTGCCCACAGGACTTGCCCCGCTAGGTTTCTCCACTGTGACCCAGTGCAGGCTGCCCTGCCTGAGGCTGTGGCAGGAAGAGCTAAAGCTCGCCCTGCACGTGCCCCTCCCTGCCTCTCCCAGTCCCGTTGGGGGCCACCCTTACCCTCCCCCGTGCTGCCTGCAGGGCCGGCTGCCTGTGAAGTGGATGGCACCTGAGGCCTTGTTCGACCGGATCTACACCCACCAGAGTGACGTGTGAGTTTGAAATGAGCCATTGAAGGGCTGTGTGGGATGGGGAATTTCCGGTATACTTGGGTCCTGCCCGCCTCTCTGGACTCATCAGGGTCTCCTTCCATTTGTTTTACTGGAGAGTAAAAACAAAGCACTGTGTATACCGCTCACTGTGTTCCAGAGGCTGGAAGGCCAAGCTCCTCAGCATTGTCCCCCAGTTTTTTCCTCGGAACTGGGGACTTACTGAGAGAGGGTGGAATCAGTGTGAGCTGCTAGGGAGATGGGGAGGACTCTAGGCCGGCCTAGTTCTGTGCCCAGCAGATGCAGCGGGCCTGTGCTCGTCCACAGGTGGTCCTTCGGGGTGCTGCTGTGGGAAATCTTCACTTTAGGCGGCTCCCCGTACCCTGGCGTGCCCGTGGAGGAGCTGTTCAAGCTGTTGAAGGAGGGTCATCGTATGGACAAGCCCAGCAACTGCACCAATGAGCTGTAAGCGGGAGGGGATGGCCAAGGCTCAGCTGGGCCCTGTGGGGCTGGGTGCAGTGGGTGGAGGAGGAAGCGGGTGTTTAGCTGGATAGAGCAGCCCCCACCATCACTCCTCCCACAGTCCCTCCAGGTGAGCTTTCTTTAATGTGTGCCTGTGCCCTTCCTGCCCTGGCCTGACGACCCTGCCACAGGTACATGATGATGCGGGACTGCTGGCATGCGGTCCCCTCACAGAGACCGACCTTCAAGCAGCTGGTGGAAGACCTGGACCGCATTGTGGCCTTGACCTCCAACCAGGTGAGAACGCCCCGCGCTAGACCTCAGGTCCCCGTCAGCTGGGCTCACCCCTGGGGGGGTGCTGCCTCGGGGCGGAGCGCGCCGGGCCCAGTGTTCTCATCTCTCCCACCCAGGAGTATCTTGACCTGACAATGCCCCTGGACCAATACTCTCCCAGCTTTCCCGACACCCGAAGCTCCACCTGCTCCTCGGGGGAGGATTCCGTCTTCTCTCATGAGCCATTGCCTGAGGAGCCCTGTCTGCCCCGACACCCAGCCCAGCTTGCCAATGGTGGACTCAAACGGCGCTGACCCAATACCCATCCCTGGCTCCGTCGTCGGCTGCAGCCCTCACCCACCACCCCCTGCTGGACTCACTGCCTCCCCTCTGCCCTTTCCCGTGGGCAGGAGCCAGCTTCGTACCTGAGGCTTCCCCCACGGAGCTGCCCTCTCCTCCTCCTCTCTGCCTGTTGGGAGGAGCAGAGGCAGGTACTTGCCGATGGCCACCTTGTTCCCTCCCGGATGTTGGACCAAGCCCCCTCCCTGCCACCTGGCAGTGCCCGGAGGGGCGGGGAGCGGGACATGAGCAGGCAGGCGAGCGCGAGCTGGCGGAGCTTCCTCGTGGTGGTTCTGTCTGCCTCCCGTGCTCCGAGGTGGGGGCCTTGTCCTCAGGCCCAGGGGAGGTCAGGGCTTTGGCCTCGGTTGAAGGGGATCTCTGCTCCAGACAGATGGTGCCAGGGGCTTATTAATTCCGATACTAATTTGCTTTGCTGACCAAATGCCTGGTACCAGAGGGTGGAGAGGCAAAGGCTGGGAGCAGTGTTGTGGCCCTGGGGCCCAGCCCCAAACTGGGGACTTTGTACATAGCTATGAAGAAAACACAAAGTGTATAAATCTGAGTATATATTTACATGTCTTTTTAAAAGGGTCGTTACCAGAGATTTACCCATTGGGTAAGATGCTCCTGGTGGCTGGGAGGCATCAGTTGCTATATATTAAAAACAAAGAAAAAAGAAAAAAAAGGAAAATGTTTTTAAAAAGGTCATATATTTTTTGCTACTTTTGCTGTTTTATTTTTTTAAATTATGTTCTAAACCTATTTTCAGTTTAGGTCCCTCAATAAAAATTGCTGCTGCTTCATTTTTATATGGGCTGTGTGACCAGGGAGACAACATCAGTGGGCAGGGAGCAGGCCGCCACGGGGCTGCGTCCGTTCAGAGGGCACCACACGTCTGTGTGGCTTCCTCTAAACTCTGCCTCGTAGGTCCAGCACTGAGACCTCCGGGGTGAGCCTCCCTCCCCGATGCTTGCAGAAAGGCAGGAAAAGAAGAGGCTATGTGACAGGCAGGCACCTCCTGTCCGCGCACCAGAGGTGCTGAGCCCAGAGCAGGGGCTTTGCAGGCCTCAACCGCAGATTGTATCCTCCGAGGAAACCCAAGGGGTCGGGGCAGGTTGGAGGGCCAGAGAGTGAGCCAGGGGCCTAGTCGAAATGGCCACGGAGCAGAGCTGAAGTGATGAAGAGGAAAACAGGGATTACTGACAAAGGCCTGCAGAAACCCAAACCCAGATACCTGTGGCTGCCCTCTGGGTGGGTGTGGTTTGTTGCCCATGCTGCTGGGTGAGGGAAAACCCATCACTCAGGACTCGGTTTACATTCAGGCCCCTGGCCCCACGCTCCATGGCATGCCGTGTGGGGACCCCTCCAGTGCCTGACCAGTCGGCTGTGTTGGGACTGTCAGACCTTGGCTTCCTGTAGTCCTTTCTGTACAAACTCCACTCCATCCCTCAGGGAAGGGACAGAAGTTCTCTGAACATTGGGTTGGGGGGGCTGCTTGGAATTTACTTTTCTGCCCTCTGCTGGCTGCATGCACTGGGTGGGCTCCCGTGCCTCAGGCACCCTAGCGCCCCACTTGCCAGCACTCAGCCTCTCCCCACAAAGCCAGCTCTTGGCTGGCTTACTGCTGAATGAGGACAAAAGAAAGTGCGGTCTGCTTTCATTTCTGTAGGGGAAACGGGGTTGTTCCTGTGTGAGCGGGCTGGCTTTTGGCAGCTGTGGTATTAGCCACTGTTGTAAAGTTCTTGCTTACCCTTGTATCACTCTGTTAATGTGCGACTGTCAACATAGTACAATTTGTGTTGAAAGAAGGCATAATTTGGTGAACAGGGCCGGGAAACAAATTTTAGCTCTTCAAACGATTTGCATTGAGACATAATGGTGGTGTGTCCTTGTAAAATAGTGATCTTTTTCTGCCTCGCCCTCCCTTGAAGCAATGTTGTGTGAACGGTGAGGGTCTGCAAAGGGCTTTATATATGCCTTCCGGAGAGGTGCTGTGGAATTACAAGGCACTATTATTAAAACTGTCATGTCCTTCCTGGTACAACCCAAATCACCTGTGGATTTCCCCAGAGACTGAGCCGGCTGTCAAATAAAAAATAGAGAAGCTGACCTGAGAGAAAATGAAATGGCCATTTTATTTAAATGACCAGATCGAGTCTCCTGAGGAAAGGGATCCAGTTATCTAATGAAGACGTTATGCTGTCAAGGCACTGAATCTGTCTAGTTTCCTGTGGGTTAAAAGATGAGGGCCTGGAACCACCACAACATGAATCAATACTGCCCTGCTGCTTTTTCTAATTGCCATAGGCTGTGGGGTCCTCAGTCCCTTGGCACCGCTAATGCACTGTATTGATCTCAGATGAAGCTAGAAATCTGTCTCCACAACAGTGAGGCAGCTGTGTCTGTCAGCCACCACTGGGAGGAGCCGGCAGACCCAATTCTCAGTATTAGGTAATGTGCGGATCTGCTCTGAAGCTGCGTTAGTCTGACCTTAACGTATGGTGTGGGTACAGTGACTGGGAAATCTTTAGGCTTTAGCATTACAGAGTATTGATCTGATGCCGCCAGTGTGAGTTATTCTGTAATGACTGAAGTACGGAATTATGCACAACAGGTGATAAATGTCAAGTGCCACCAGCACCTCTCTGTTGTAGCAGTCCTCTGTATATGAGACACAGACCAAGTCTGACAGCACAGAAGTTAGGTTTCAGAAATTGCCTAGACCTATACCAGTACGGTGATTAGCATCTGGTACAGCTAAGGTGTATGCGTCTGCAGGGTACGGGGAAAGCGTTCTGGCAGTTTGGCACAGCCATCCATTCCCTCAGTTGAGAGTGGGACAGGGAAGGTCAGCAGGAGCCAGGTGTTCAGGAAGATAGGGCACCTAAGAGTTTTCAGGGCCATTTTTACTGTACTGCCACCTCAATGCTTGCATTGGAGCACAGAAATGTCACATAATGAACACTCTGCCAAACTAGTTTGTCTCTTGTTACTCAAGAGGGCCAGTGCATGCTGGAGCTGGTGCTCAGGCTAACAGTGCACATCTCTTCCCAACTTGGGTGGTAGAGTGACCTCCTGGTCGTGGCTTGGAATCAGCCCTGTGGGAGTATTTACATCACTGGAATCCACAATGCAAATCACACCCCACCCCTGCCAGAGTTAGTTGGTAATCATTTACCAGATCACCACTAGCTCTCATTTTAGCATGGGGCTAGAAGTTACTACCATAGAGCCCAACAGTCAAGGGCTCTAAGGGACAAGAACAAAGAAACATCCTTGGCTTCTCTAGCTACTGTCCTAAGCATGGGAGAAGAGGTATATCCAGGGTCTAGATGTTTGGATGCAGGAAAAATGGGTGACGGTCATCTGGACAAGTGGCCAGGGTCCCCTCGACCTAACCATTCCCACTCTGCCTGCAGAGAAAGCCAGAAAGGATTGTTCGAACCGCCCAACTGTCCACGTGAATCATTCAGCCAAAACAGGATTTTGCAAGTTAACTAGCTAATCCCTTTTCCACATTCAACACTTAAATTGTGAACTAATTTTAAAAAGCACCACCATTTTAAAAATGGGAAGATTTATTGTGAATCGCCTTGCAGGCCAATGGTGCCATCTATGGAATGCTGCACGGTGAGGCCTCCTGGTTCTCCAGGAACGAGCTCATTAGCAGACGTGGTGGGCTGGTCCTCAGGAAGCATTTTAAAGTCATATCCTTGATGTAAAGTGCTGATCCCAGTCCCCACTTAGCTGATCCCAGACAGGGAGGTTTCAGCTTTACTTGGTTTAACTGTCTCCCATCTAATGGCTTTAAATTCCACAACAAGTAAAGAAATATAATTTCTCAACTACAGGCCAAAATATCTTTTCCCTACTAAAGCTGTCCCCAAGGCCTGAAAGCTGTTGGTCAGCAATCTTATTACATTTTTCTCAGTATAGACTATACTGGAAACACCAATCATAAATACCTGAATGTAACACTCGTTACTGGGTAGCACAGCGGTCATATCAGACTTTTAACAACCCCTGTGACTAGCAAATAGTCTTGTTGGTGAAAGACAAACAGACCAGAAAAACACACACCCAGCACAAACAAATAGTTAAGTCTTAAACCCTTAATTATGTTTCCTAGCAAAAACGGTGGCTAATGAAAGCCATGTGTGCTACCATGGTGGCCTCCCAGAGCCTGCAGCCTCTAGGCCCGGGTGGGGGTGTCTCAGAACAGCCAAACCATTTGACTGCCAGTCTGTTTAACAGTCCGTTTTCTTCTCTCAGAAGCCTTTTCTTCATATCCAGAAGGACCATACTGGGGAGTACATCCACTCCATCTCCTAAGGTCCTTTATTTCCAGGGCACTATTCCCACTGATGGATCACTCTGGAAAAGCAGGTCAGGACTCTTACAGTGGTTTTTGTAATTTCCAAGTTCTTAGGTTACCAAGCCATGGGAGTCCGAGCTATCTAAGACGCCAGGCTCATGACATGATGCAAAACATTTCCTCCCTTGAAGGACACGGGTACAAATACAAAGCTGTTCAAAAATAACATGAGGGTTGGTGGGCCTTACACAAAGTTTAGTGGGATGACATAATGGAACAGAGGAAACGGGCTTTGCAGTTATGTTCTCTGAAAACTGTCTGAACTTGGTCTCACATCTGGAATGGGGATGAGGCCTTCAAAGGACTGAATGAATGGCTGATCTTGTCCTCAAGGTCCTAGCAGGGGGTCCAATTTGGATGCCACTGCTGAGGGCAGACAGGTGGAGAGCATGAGCCTCATCGTCCAGCAGGCCTTATGCTCCTTTCGAAGTAGCCTTGCTTCCGGGTGGTTCTGGGTGGTCCTTTGTGATTCAGCCAGGAGTGTCTGGGCACAAAACAAGGAGCTCAGGCATGGGTCAGATGTGTAAGTTCATTAGGATTCCCTTTGTTTTCTTAATCAAAATGACAGGCCCCCAAGGTCAAATTCGAGTTTATAATTTACCTTGGTGATAAAAAGGATGAAGACATGCAAACAAGGCCCTGGATCTCACCCCCACCTGCATGCGACCTGGTTCTCTCTGGTCCTTGGGGTGGAGAGCCACCCCACACACAGTTCAGCCCTCCCATAACCCCCGACTGTTTCTGCCATGTTTTCTGTTCTCACCCCAAATTCCTTGACCCAAATGGGAGAAGTGGATAGAGGATTCCTTATTTACATGGTATTTCTCCTAAGATTTAAATTGCTTTCCTGCTTGTATTTCCTGACATCTGAAGCCCGTGTGAAATATACAACATATGGGGACTATTTCCATCTGGCGCAAAGGAAAATAAGAATCTGCCTATATTGTAATTAGCTTCTAGGCTTAACATGTTTAGATCTGATCCACAGCTGCATGGGCTGATGATTTTTTTTTCCACTTTTGGATAACTGAGCTTAAAAAAAATGCAGTGGTTATGACTAAAATTCAGCCTACAACTTCCTGTTTGGAAGACAGGAAGAACTATGCAGTATTTTGCAATGATTGTAATTCTAGATTCTCACTGGCCTTAATAACTAGGGGGAAAGGGTTTTCTTTTTATTCTTACAGTTTCTTTAGCAGAAGTGATGGATCCTTTAGGTAACGAGAGAGGTGCTGATGGCATTGTGGATGACCATGTGACTGGTGGCGGTTATACTAATTCTTCATCATCCTTCATCATCAGAACTGAGAGCTGGGTTACTGATTTCAAACAAAATGTCTGTCAGATCTATAATTACACTGCCATGACTACCAGAAACTTAGAAGTAACGACTTCATGTTCTGGTAGAGGATTCAAGAGACAAAAATCTGGAACCTAATTGCATATCACCAAATACTGAACTTTCTTAGAAACAGGTCAAACAGTATAAGAAATATTCTTTATTAAAGGATGCCATTGTATTGAAATTCAGTTTTTGTCAAGGGGGTTACAAATAGAGAAATTACTGTTATTTTCATGTGTTAACCTCATTAAATGAAATGTCCAACCTTTGTTCCCTTCAGTTGAGGTGCTAAATCCACCATGTTCTCCTTAGATTCAGGGGAAATGGGAGTATCCATCTTTGGAGCCTAGGGAGAGAAATATTTGATAGGAGCACGAGCTTGCAGCTCCAATTGAGACCCCAAGACCATGCTACAGTAGTCAGAATATAACTGGCTTTCCCCTAAATTTCTGCCTTCCTCCAACTATACTCCTTAGGAGGAACATGAACTGTGTCCCTAAAACAGCAACTTAGTATTATTTATCTTTGACATTTGAGAACCCTATACACAAAAGTTACACTCTAATTACAGTATTTTAAATCCTCAGTCATTAACACGCTACTGGTGTGCTAATTCTGGTCCTGTTTTCAGTCTCAAAAAAATAAAAGTCACTTCTCAATTACTTGTCAGTTCCTAATAGCATTGGTGTATCTTAGTCAAAATTGACACCATCATTTTTGGTGTCTACTAATAAGTGATAAATTTGATTTATTAAAATGGTAGGTACTGCTTAATTGAAGCTCCTGCAGTGCAACATGAGGAAAACAGGGAGGAGGTGGTATTTTAGAATAGCCAACTAACTTGTCCTCATGAATTCTATTAATTAGATTTGAAAAGTGTATCTATGCTCTTTGAAATAAGTAATTCCTTTGTGTACTTTGGAGGGAAAAGGGTTTCATACATCCAAAATTATTTGATGTCTCTCAATTCTTTGCAGAACCTAGCACGCTAGTTGTTCTTGCTTTTTTATAAAGGGAGAATACAAGTTTAGAAACAGATTTAAACCAAAGAGGCTTAACCTAGGAGTTGGTCATTTTGTCCTTAATTCCTAGGTCTTTCTCAACCATTCCAGGAAGCAATATCAGAATAAAGAGTTAATGCCCCTCTAGAATAATCTTGAGAACCCAGATTTAGTTTTGAGACACTGGGCTATTCCAAGACTTCATTGCTTTTGAGAGCAGTCTGATAATGGCATAACTTTGGTCTTAAAGATCAAAGATGAAGAGCCCAAAACATGAACTGTGCTCCAAAATTCCTAATCTACCTAGAATCCTTCCCAGACAAAGGCTACATGCAGATTCGTCTCTGGAAATACGGAAGAGGAAGGCAAACCGTGTTTCCTGCAGTACATTTTTCATGCTGGATTTCATATAATTTTCCTTGGTGTATCCAAGGAGTCATTGGCATAACTGAGATTAAAAGCGATTAAAACTGGAGAGTACTTAGTTGAATCTACCAAACCACATGTGCAGCGTCTTAACCCTGGCCTCTCCCCTCAGCCGCACAGGTTGTGAGTTACACGTGGAGCCACAAAGAGAAGTGTGAGGCCCCTTTTCATGGACCCAGAGCAAGATGGTCCAGTGTCTGGGCCTAGACTGGGTTCTCCAGTAAAATACCGGGAGGAAAAAAGCTGCTGAGTTGCAGGCAACAAAAAGTAGAGAGGTGAGTTGCAAGATGAAAAGTTTACATTCTAGACGGGCCATTCACTGCTTAAAAATTAAGAGGAATCTGGACAAATGAAACAGCTGTGAAAGAACAGGAAGTATTCAGTCCCAAAGGAGGAAGACTGGTGGGGGGGGAAAGGAAAACAAAAAGACAGTATGCTAATGAAACTAGCTAGTTAAGGAGAGAGAATAAACTGCACTCCTATTGGAAAGAATCCTAAATCAAGCTGGGATTTAAGGCAGTGTGGGGAAGTTGGGGTTTCTATGGCCAGGATCCTCACTGAACTTAAACCACCTGATGATGTAACTGGCCTGTTGCTAGGCTACCACTTCCACACCTTTAGGCAATAAGCTATTATTGCGCTATATAGAGAGTTCAGCCCAGTACTCTGGGCGGAGGCAGAGATGCTAGTGCTCGACCTACTGCCAGGAGAACAAGCTGGGTAATTAACCCTTTCACCCCAAAGAACGTTTGCTGTCAATTTCTTTGGTCACATTGAATCCATAGCAAACTTGCCCGGGGCTGAAACCCATTGACAAGACAGGCAGTAACAGCCCTATAGCTAGTGGAAGTTTAAGTGCAAGCTTTTTTAAGAAACTTTAAAAAGTTTATTTTAACTTCAGATTCCAAAAGATAGGCCCAAAGAAATGCCCACTGTGAGTGCAAGAGGAAGTAAGACTGTGGAGAGGCCCCAGCTGCAGAAATCCTCAAAGAACCCCTACTTACCTCCCCATGTAGTGGTATCTCCATTGGTTTTGGCTTCACATCTATCAGGGGTGAAGGTTCATGACAAGAGCAAGAGGGAAAGTGGGACATTGTCCTTCAGGTGGAGGTCTAGCCACTGGAGAATGGGAGGGAAACACAGGACAGACCCACAGAATGTTAAACGTGCACGTGGCCAGTGACCATCGTGCCTGCTTTTACAGCTCCCCCAGGTGCATGCTGGTGACCTAAAGGCAGGACAAGGAGAGCACCGGGCTCCTGGCTTCTGCACCACTGCAGTACCCTGCAACCTGTCAGTACAGCAGATCACTCAGAGTTGCAGAGGGCATGTTCAGTTAAACTCTCAAACCAATGGTGGATCAAAGTGGCTAAGCATTTTCTCTCAGACACAGAAGATAATGTGAAAGAATTGGCCTCATACATCACCAAAAAAACCAATACATTAAAATGAGATGCAAGTTTTCAAGTACCAAATTAGCCAAGCTTTTAAAATATACATACATACATACATACATATACATACATATATGTATATATATTTTAGATCAATAATATATGCACAAGAGACAAAATACAAAAGGTAAATAAAATGTAATCTGTAAAAATAAGCCTGCTTTCTACCCCTATTTTCTAGCTATTCTGTGTCCCTCCCTAGAAGCAACCATTGGTACCAGTTCTTACATAATCTTCCAGAGATAATTCTGTGCATATACAAACATACACTTAATATGGTTTTTATCTTTACACAAAGGTGACACGCACTGTTTTGTCCTTAGCTATTTTTCACTGAACTATCCTGGAGATTGACTCATAGAGCTGCCTCCTTTTTAAGCATCTGTAAAAGATTCCATTGTATGGAAATGCCAAAATTACTTTGATTATTCTCCTTTTAATGAATAATCTTTTGCTCTTACAAATTCTGCTGCAATGGATAATCTTGAAGACATCATTTTGCACATGTGCAAGATCATAGGATAAATTCCTAGCAGTGAAGTTTCTAGGGCAAGGTAAATGCGTTTTTAAAAGTTGAAAGTTGGAGGTTTTTATCAGCAATGCCTGAGAGCCCCTCCCCTCTACCCTACCAACATGAGTTATCAAACTCTGATAATAGGGGAATGTGATATCTCATATTTTTAATCGATCTTATTGTGAAGTTAAGATGTTTTATATACTTGCCATTTTAGTTTCCTTTCTATGAAATGTCTGCCCGTATCATAACACAGGATTTTTTGAGCAGGAATACAGAGTGCTGAGTATCATGTGGTTGGATTCGTATCCCCACTCCCTTGTAGGGGGATTGTAAAACAACACACCCTTTCAAGAAAGCAGTTTGATAGTATGAACTCACTACTCTTATGTTCAAGAAATAAATGATTTTTAAGTACTCTTCTCTACAGTCTGTTTATCTTCCCACCAGAGCAGGCCCAACACGCAAGAGGAAATTGCTACCTGACTTAGTTTCGAAGTCACAACAATGGCTCTTATCCCAAAACAATTCATGGACACATAGCACTCTTTATAGTTATAGGAATGAGAATTTCAATAGGTTTGCAGCACTGACACTCTTAGTTCAAATGTTATCTGAGGGAAAATAGTGAACCCCTGTTAACAAAGCCAATACTTCACATTGAATTGGGGCATGGATGGGGAAAAGCAGCCCCAGGTGAGCCACCAGGCACGGTTTAGACCTCCAGCTGCATTTGCCCATGACAGGCCTTGTATCAGAGATGTGGCCGCTCTTACAAAACCTGAAGTAGGCAAAATTCCAAGGTGGCCCCAAGATTCCCTGTCCCTCATGCATCCACAGCTTCTCCCAGTTGTTCAGTCAAACACTAATCAACGTGCTGCCGTGAAGAGAAGCTGCAGATATAATTAAGGTCCCAAGTTTGTTGCCCCTAAAATAGGAAGATTATCCAGGTAGGTCTCGCCTAATCATGCGAGACCTTTAAATCTGGAGTTAGAAGTCAAACGGGAAGGAGGTTTGACGCTTGAGGGGTTGGCCTGTGAGTAGTTCTTGCTGGCTTCGCAGATGGAGGCGGCCTCCAGGGCTGAGGGTGGCTGGGGGCTGACAGCCAGTGAGAACACACGGACGTCAGTCCTACAGCTGCGAGGAACTAAAATCAGCCAACAAACTGAATGAGCTTGGAAGCAGAGTCTTCCTGACAGCTTCCAGAAAGGAACACCCTACCCTTGTGACCTACAGAACCGTGAATAACACACGGGTGTTGTTTTAGCCACTATGTATGTGGTAGTTAGATACTCAGCAGCAGAAAACCACGAAGAGTACCCCATCTCAGTCAAAAATACACCTATAGCTGCACAGCGTCCAACTGCTCCGTTAAATAAGACAAGTTGGGTAAGGGGGTTCGCTTGCAAAGTGGAAATCACAAAGCGAGGCCTGCCCATTGCGGGGGAGAGAGTGTCAGGGAGAAGGGCCCCAGAAAACTGCTACTTGCCTCTGTGAGCTGCTGTCTCGGTTGTCCCTCGGTAAGACCCAGGGACCTCATCCCTTGGGCCCTGCAGACAACTCGTAGCTCTGACAGCTCGTAGCTCTGACACGCTCAAAGAATTCACCCCCTCCTTGGCGATTGCCTGAAAGAAATGTAAGGAACGGCATATGGGGGTCCTTTGGTTTCGGTTTTACCTAATTCCGAGGTTCCAACAAGTCGAGGGCAACACGAAGTTCGATGCCTTCGGCTTTGCTCCCTGCACAGACGCGCAGCCAAGGCCCGGGGCCTGCTGGGCAAAGTGGTTTCGGGAAGCGCAGCGGCCCAGATGGAGGAAATCCTGCCAGCAGAGATCACGACGTAATTATTTCCCTTCTTGATTTGCATTTCGCCTGGTTGTGACATCTCTCCTCGTCTGTGGCAGCTTTAGGATTCATTAGAAAAATGCTGGTCAGGAAGCTTTCAGTGTACCATTTGTCGCACGGGGTTCTTCCCCAGTACTACACCCGGGGATTGGCCCTAGCTCTGGTCCACAAAACTCGGTAACAGTTTCTGCGTGGTGTGGTCCAAAATGATGGTACTTCTGGGACCAGGATTGTTTTGTCTGCTCCAAAGTTCTGAAAGCAACAACTGAAACCTAAGTGGGGCCAATGGGATCCTGCTTTCTCAGTTCTGGGAAGCCTCCCTCAGGCAGAATGCTTTAACGCAGCTGATTCAGATTCAGGGAACATTCTGTTTTTTAAGGAGTCTTAGTAGTAGCTGTAGTCCCAACCATGCCTTTCTTCTGTAAGAGATCTAGGATCTGCTTTCATCCCTATGTCATGCGTTGCCACCCCTTATCAGGCCACCCTACCCAGAATGCTGACTCTGGCATCGGCTCTGAGGAAGGGGAGCCGAGCTGGGTGGGTAGGGCAGTGTCCTTAGCAGGGAGAGATTCAGGAAGCTACTGGGCAGCTGTTCCCTCCTGGTGGGTCCGAACTGCTCTGGATTAGTTCCAGCTAAGATGTCCAAATGACTAACTGCTTGTGATGGCCTTCTCAAGAAAATGGGTCAGAGTTCAACAAACAGTTCCTAAGATGAGTAATCAAGGTTCAGGCTGTCATGGTGATGGTTGTTTCAAACCACCCGTTTTACCAAGTACCCAGTCCTTGAGCAGACCTAACACAGGATACTGAACTTCATCATCACAAAGCCACCCAAAGATGTCTCTCAATGCCCTGCTAAGTCCCTACAGCCCCAGTAAAACGCTTACTTCATCATCTGCTTTTATAGACTTCAGTTTCATCAGGAGCTGAAAGCAGAGCAAATTGTTGGTTCCAAAGGACTGCAATTCTAGCAGTTTGCAAAGGGCCACCAGCTAAGATCAATCTAGGTGCCCCAGGGTGAGCGGATCCTCAAATAGTTTGGAAAAGCTAAGTATCTCCTTTGTGCTGGGCTTGTGGCTGGTCTGGACCTAGGCAGTTGGGACAAAGAGGCTAATTAAAATATGTTTCCTACTTAATTTGACCTTCCCTACTACAGAATGTTTGAAAGACACACCATAGCGTTGAAAGACCCTATCTTACGTCTGGAAATGGGTCCTGTGGTATAAAGAGTAGTAAAAAAAAATCTCTGAAGCAGCCTAAGTGAACTGAAAAGGTCAGTAGTACTTCAAAAGTTTGACCCTATTCTGTTCCTTCCAAGCAGTTATCAAGGACTTCAATACCTTGGTTGCTTTAAGATAGGTTTTTTTGCAAATGACTGTAAATGTTTGCAACATTGTATGTATACAACTTGGATATTTGCAAGTTCAGAGATGGTGAACAATTTGGAATATCTGGGATGACATGAATTTTTCATTTAACTGCCAGCCCAGAAGTAGTTTGGTATTATATATATAAAAAATGGACACCTGTTTAACATAGAATGAGAACTGTGTAGAGGCATCTCCCAACTTGGCCCCGATCCTCCTGCCACTTCTGTAATTGTTTCTTGAAGAAATCTTGCTAGTTCCAACTTTGAGGCCTTTTCTTTTTCTGTTGTTCTTCCTTAGTAATAAAAGAGGAAAGGTTAACCACCCCTTCATAATTACAACTTAGTAGTTAAAGATGAGAGGAAAATAATGGTTCCTTCTTATTGTTTATCCCTATTTCATGTGTTAATATTATTTTCAGACTTTATTGAGTTGGTGAGAACCAGAGCAAATAAAAAGTAGCCTCTCTCTGCAACTTGTCTCCTTATTCTTACTGTTTCATTTCTCAGCAGTACAATGATCACAAATGTTTGATAGATCCAAAATGTCCCCTCAATGGGAGGCTTTGTCATTATTTAGAATGAGATACTATCTCTTAACCTGATACAAACCATCTAGACTGCTAGTTGAGCCAACCTTGGTCTAAAGGGCCCCAGATTTTGCTTGGGCCACAAACAAAGAAAACTAGGAAATGACCTCTCTGCTAAAGTAACTTACAGTTTAGGTAGAACACAGATACAATTATATAACACAACAAGGTAAGTGCTGTAACAGATATGAAACACTACACAAAAGGAAATCAAATGTACACTCTTAAGATACTGTGTTAACCAGTATTTCTAAGTCCTCATCAGAAATGGAGTGTGGTGGCATATTCAAAATAACCATGGTCAGAACTCGGTACGGGGAGTGGAGAAGAACAGAGCTATGTATGAATATATATTATGTGAGTACACAATGTGTGAACATATAAATATATATAATATATATATTTTTAAGTTGCCCAAGAGATTCTAATGAACAGCCAATCATATACTTATTGATTTTTAGAAAGATCTTAAGACTCAGCCCCAAAAAATAAAAACCTACACCTGTGAGACCATCATTGGAACCCCTCTAGTCATCCATCTCATTTATCTATATCCATCCATTTATTTATTGAGCATCTACCCTGTGCTAGGTGCTGGGGGTAAAATAAGCAAAACACAAGAATTTCTGCCCTCAAGGAACCTCTAGTCTAATGGAAGAGGCAAACATTAATGACTAATGGTAATTCAGTCCACAAATTAATGCAAACTTAGACAAGTACTGTGAAAGAGAAATGCATGGTACTGTGATGTACATGGAAAGCTAACACAATCCCATCCTCCTCCCCACCCGACCTTTGTTCCATGAAAAGGAAAAGACTGTGGCCTGGGTGTATGTATATGCATGTTTGGGGAATAAGTAATGTTGAGAAAAGAGGAATATTTAGATAAATCACTTCCTCTGTTCTCTCATCTTCTCACATTCACTAACACATTCCTTGGAATCCCATGTACCAATTACAGATCCTAATACTTTAAATATAAATAAACTAAACCACTACCAGGTAATTAAATAGCACATTTTAGCTGGACTGCTTCAATGTATCTTGAATGTTCATGTTTTTATTCCTAATGCCACCTCAGTGATTCCAGCTTTATCATCTCTCTCGTGCTACTGGATAGCATTCCAGCTGCCTTCCTTCCCTTGGCTTTGCCCTCTTCAATCCTTCCTGATTGAAAGCAAAACTATTTATCTGAAATACGGATCTAATCATGTTACCTGCTCCCTGCTTAAAGTTACCTTCCACTATTCACCACTGTCCAAGGTGAAGTCTGAATTCCCTAGGGTGGTACATGCTTTCCAACCTGACCCTAGTACATCCCTGTTGTCTCATCTTCTACCATTTATCCCCTTGTGTTCCCTCCTCCAACCACATAGAGCCAATCAGTCGTCTCTGATTGTCATATTCTTTTACACCATTAAGCCATTTTAAGTGCTATTTTTTCTACCCAGAACACCTTGCAAACACTTAGTAAAATTCAACTGCTCTTTAAGGCTCTTCTGTGAAACATTTCTCAGTCTGATTTCAAAGTTGCCTTCTCTGTCCTCTCATAAGGTGTTCAAGTGTCCATACCACTGTCTAGTAAAGCACAGAATGGAGAGAATAAAGGAGCTGCCCCAGCTTCACAGTGACCATGCTCTTCTCAGGATTACTCATAAGCACTAAAAGATCTGTTTGGCTGAATAAATCATGCCTACTGTTCAACTAGTCACCACAGTAACAGTTCATTTATTTTTTTATGGTAAAAAGTTAAAATTCAATGGAGAAGGGATAGTTTTTTCAACAGATGATGCTAGAAAAACTGGATAACCACATGCAAAAAAAAGAAAAACATTGACACTGTTCCACTGTTCACCAGAATTAACTCAAAATGGATCATAGGTTTAAATGTAAAATGCAAAACTTCTAGAATGAAACATAAAAAACCTAGGGGATCTTACATTTGGCAATGAGTTTTCAGATATAACACCAAAAGCATGATCCAAGAAAGAAAAAATGGATAAATTTAACTTCACTGAAATTAAAAACATTTGGAAGGGGCAGAGCCAAAATGGCGACATGAGTAGAGTGCGGAAATCTCCTCCCAAAGCCACATATATTTATGAAAATATAACAAAGACAACTCTTCCTAAAATAGAGACCAGAGGACACAGGACAACATCCAGACCACATCCACACCCAGCGCCTCCCAAAGGGGGTAAGATACAAGCCCTGGCCCGGCGGGACCTGAGTGCCCCTCCCCCCAGCTCCTGGCAGGAGGAGAGGAGTCTGAGTGAGCGGGGAGGGAGAGGGAGCCCAGGACTGCTGAACACCCAGCCCCGGCCATCCAGACCAGAGAACAGCACAGTGCATGCGTGGGGTCCTGGATACTAGGGAAACAGGGCAGCAGGACCAGTGAGCGGGTACCAGAGGCCAACAACGGAGAACAAAGAAACAGGAGCAGCCATTTTTTTTTTCCAATTTTTTTTTTTTTTTTGGCGAGTGCTTTTTGGAAGTCTTAAAGGGACAGGGACCACAATACTAGGGAAACAAGGCAGCAAGACCAGTGAGCAGGTGTCTGAGGCCGGCGCCTGAGGACAAAGAAAATCGTGTGTTTTCTGTGTTTTTTAAAAAAATTATTTATTTAATTTTGTTGTTGTTGTTGTTGTTTTGGTTTGGTGAGTGCTTTTTGGAAGTCTTAAAGGGGCAGGGTGGGACACTTAGTCCAGAGGCAGGGAATCTGGGGACCTCTGGACACTCTAACCCCCTGGGCAGCAGGGAGCATGGAGGCCCCTTACGGAGATAAATAGCCTCCCGGCTGCTCCCCCTCCAATGGGGCTCCACCATTTTGGAGTAGCAGCCCAAGCCAGGTCACACGCACAGCAACAGTGGAGATAAACTCCATAGCAGCCCGGCAGGAAGCAGAAGCCCTGTCTGCTCACAGCTGCCCAGCACAAGCCACTAGAGGTCGCTATTCTCCCAGGAGAGGAAGGCCACAACCCAACAAGAAGGAATACTCTTCCAGCCACCACTTGTACCAGCTCTGCAAACTATCTCTATCACCATGAAAAGGCAAAACTACAGGCAGACAAAGATCACAGAGTCAACACCTGAGAAGGAGACAGACCTAACCAGTCTTCCTGAAAAAGAATTCAAAATAAAAATCATGAACATGCTGACAGAGATGCAGAGAAAAATGCAAGAGCAATGGGATGAGATGCAGAGAAAAATGCAAGAGCAGTGGGATGAGATGCAGAGAAAAATGCAAGAGCAGTGGGATGAAGTCCGGAAGGAGATCACAGATGTCAGGAAAGAGATCACAGAAGTGAAACAATCCCTGGAAGGATTTATAAGCAGAATGGATAAGATGCAAGAGGCCATTGAAGGAATAGAAGCCAGAGAACAGGAACGTATAGAAGCTGACATAGAGAGAGATAAAAGGATCTCCAGGAATGAAACAACACTAAGAGAAATATGTGACCAATACAAAAGGAAAAACATTCGTATTATAGGGATACCAGAAGAGGAAGAAAGAGGAAAAGGGATAGAAAGTGTCTTTGAAGAAATAATTGCTGAAAACTTCCCCAAACTGGGGGAGGAAATAATCGAACAGACCATGGAATTATACAGAACCCCCAACAGAAAGGATCCAAGGAGGACAACACCAAGACACATAATAATTAAAATGGCAAGGATCAAGGACAAGGAAAGAGTTTTAAAGGCAGCTAGAGAGAAAAAGGTCACCTATAAAGGAAAACCAATCAGGCTAACATCAGACTTCTCAACAGAAACCCTACAGGCCAGAAGAGAATGGCATGATATACTTAATGCAATGAAACAGAAGGGCCTTGAACCAAGGATACTGTATCCAGCACGACTATCATTTAAATATGATGGTGGGATCAAACAATTCCCAGACAAGCAAAAGCTGAGGGAATTTGCTTCCCACAAACCACCTCTACAGGGCATCCTACAGGGACTGCTCTAGATGGGAGCACCCCTAAAAAGAGCACAGAACAAAACACACAACATATGAAGAATGGAGGAGGAGGAATAAGAAGGGAGAGAAGAAAAGACTCTCCAGACAGTGTATATAACAGCTCAATAAGCGAGCTAAGTTAGGCAGTAAGATACTAAAGAAGCTAACCTTGAACCTTTGGTAACCACGAATCTAAAGCCTGCAATGGCAATAAGTACATATCTTTCAATAGTCACCCTAAATGTAAATGGACTTAATGCACCAATCAAAAGACATAGAGTAATAGAATGGATAAAAAAGCAAGACCCATCTATATGCTGCTTACAAGAAACTCACCTTAAACCCAAAGATAAGCATAGACTAAAAGTCAAGGGATGGAAAAACATATTTCAGGCAAACAACAGTGAGAAGAAAGCAGGGGTTGCAGTACTAATATCAGACAAAATAGACTTCAAAACAAAGAAAGTAACAAGAGATAAAGAAGGCCACTACATAATGATAAAGGGCTTAGTCCAACAAGAGGATATAACCATTCTAAATATATATGCACCCAATACAGGAGCACCAGCATATGTGAAGCAAATACTAACAGAACTAAAGAGGGAAATAGACTGCAATGCATTCATTGTAGGAGACTTCAACACACCACTCACCCCAAAGGATAGATCCACCGGGCAGAAAATAAGTAAAGACACACAGGCACTGAACAACACACTAGAACAGATGGACCTAATAGACATCTAT